TGGGAACCTGGTCCTTTGCCATCTCTCTTTTTCTTCCCAGTCACTGTCAGCTGAATCAGCTTCCTCTGCTGCTCAGCTTTCCCACAATGTACTGTCACCACCATGATTCCAAAGCAGCAGGCCCAAGAGGCTATGGACTGAAGCCATGAGCCAAAACAAACCTTTCCACTTTATAATCTGGTTGTCTCAGGCACTTTGTTATAGAAACAACACCATATCTAACATAGCTTTTATTACATACCATGACTAAATGGATCTATTCTGGAGGTGTAAAGTTGTTTTATCATCTGCAATCCACTGTGACATACCACGTTAGTGGAATGAAGGTCATACACCACATCATCATCTCAATAGATGCAGAAAAGGCACTGGACAAAGCACAATATATTTTCATGATTAAAACTCTCCCCTAAATATATATAGAAAGAATTTTTCTCATTCTGCGGAAGCACACAATTAATATCATGATCAGCTGAAGAAGCGGAAAGCTTTATCTCTGAGACCTGGGGCCAGGCAAGGATGCCAACCTTGTCACTGTGTAACTCAGTCTCCGCAGTGTACGTTCTCTCTGGTACAGAGCAACAGTAACCCCGGGAATTAGTGAAGGGCTGGACTTCTGATCCCCAGGCCGTGCCACTGTTTCATACTCATATGTGTAAAGCTGGTTTTGGTTACAATCGCTCCTCTAGCGACTTTTCTGTTCCATGCAAGTAGATCTTTTGAAAAGATACGAGGAATAAAACAAAGAGGAGGCCATTAAAAATGTCTGCTTTAAAAACTTGAAGCTGCAATGCAATTTGACAACTGAACTTTACAGGAAAAATTGAGCTGAATTTACCAGGCAAAGTTATTACATTGTAAAGGTTGATTCAGCGAAAAATTCTTTATCAAAATGGCAGCTGGTAAGGTTGTAATATTAAAAATAAATTGAGCAGCATCTGGGCTCTTTGAAATGACTGCACTGGAGACAAAACCCAGTGCGACTGAGATTCTGCCTGAGGTCCTGCAGCTCCCAAGCTTTTCTGCATCTTATTGGAAGATCGTCCTCCATGCAGCAGCCTTGCCACAGGGTGGCCAGATGGGGGACACTGCAGGTCTGAGGCCAGCCAGGGCCTCGTGGGAACTGCAAGAAGGAAGGAAGAGAGCTTAGAAAGATCAGAATTATGGCACAAAAGCACAGGCTCGCATTTGGACTCTGTGGGTGCAATTTCACCCACAGAGGTGAATGTGTCAAATTAACCCAAGGTGACGTTCCTTTACCTAAAGCATCACAAAGACACCCTCCCTTTCCTGCTTCTAAACACACCTTCTAGAAGCCCAGACACAGCCAGAGCCAGAGAGCAGGAGGAAGGCACACACTGGGCCCAGGCGACTGAGGGAATGCTGAGTGTGAGATCCTCAACGCAGAACCCTGCAGCATACATGGTGTGTGACTGTTTGCTGTCCTGAAATACTCCAAGCCGATTTGTACATATCTGGTCTGTTGCACCAGATGACGATCAGAGTATTTCAATCCTATAACAGAATATCAGGGTTTATATTCCGGTCTGCAGGTGCAGAACTGGAATTTTTTCTACTCTTGAGCATGTGACAGCAAGAACTGCACTGGGGTCAGTAAACGTTGTAATGTTCAGTGTGCCCTGCAGGGAATTCTCTCCCCCAGGAGCAATGTTAGGATCGGAAGCATTTGATTGTTTCAAAATTGTATGCACTTGAGGTGTATATTGGTAAGCACATACCTATTGCAATCATCACCATTTTCAAGAATAACAGTGTTTTCATGAAGCTTAATTAATGTTTTTATTAAGCTTTTTAGACACTACGTTTGGATACTAACTTGCTCCCTGCCTAAGTAAATGGCGTGTTTTGAATGACTACCGCTTCCGTAGAAATCTAATAGAACCTTTAATTCAGTCGATGAGACAGCTGGGCTACACCAAGAGCACAGGTGTCCCCTTGGAGCTGTGACCCCATAGAGTGAATCTCTGCTAGGAGGCACGTTTGCTTTCATGTATTAGTGTGGCTTCAATCAGCGTGAGGTTCAGTGCTTTTCCCAGGACCCCCAGTAGTACATTTTAGTCATGATTAAAGAAAACTTCACTCACATCGCTGGAAGTGATTCCAGAGTATCAGTTTAAGAGAAGACTAGGGAATTTTACTCACTTTATTTGAGATTACTCAAATTTCTGTGCTTCTGAAGATCAGGAAACGAGTTGTCAGAATTCTGAGTTGTGTATCCTAATTGCTATTCTGATATTTAACCACCAGTACCAACAGGTAAAGTAGTCATTACACGTTCACTGATGTTTTAGAACCAAGAGAGTAAGAACGTTATATTCCTCTTTGCAACGTGGCCACAGGAATGGCAGCAGGTGGTAACAATTCATTGATATGATCATGTTTCTGTGTTCTGGGAAATCAAAGTCAGTCTTAGCTGGACCCATACAGCTGTCTCCCGGCGCTGTCCAGCACTGAGACTGCCTTCTGGGAGGTGCCTCCATCGGGAACCTTGGCAGCTTCCTTTCTTAGGTACATTACAGGTAACTACTGATAGTACTATAGCACAAATCAGCTCAGAAGGGCTTTGAATCTCTTGGCGAAACATAATCCTTTATTATCAAATTCTACAGCAATCCTCCCAAAGTGCAATTCAGTTCACTTCTATACCTGTGGTTTAAGGAAATAATAAAACAATACAAACAGGTGAATTTCTAGTTTAAGCCAGAACTATAAAACTCCTTCTCTTCTCATGCCAAACACAATCTGAGGTCTCATAAATCACTTATATTTAGATACTGTTCAATGGGAAAGCACTGTAGGTTTTCTGAACACTCATTCTTTCTTATCTGATGATATTCGCCTTAATGCCCTCGGCTGTGAAGCTATAAAATTTCCTGGAATAATTCATTCAATATTTCCAGTAATTCCACCAACTCTTAAAGTCCAGCTACAGGAGAAGCTCATTGTAGAGTCATCACACTCTGCTGTGTGCAGCAGCTTGTGGCAGTATGCAAACAGGGAACTTGCTAGAGCAAACCAGCTGCTGGGTTTTGAGTCTGTACTTCCGATTCTGCAGCCTTTGCCGTGATGGAGACCGAGGCTGTGTCGTGCTACAAAGGGGAGTAAGGCAATTGTCAACCTGCAGCAGCTTCCTTTGGGGTCTAGGGTCATGCTGAAGGATGAATCTCATGTGTGACAAAGAAATGAAATCGCCCCTGTCACAGGCCGGCTCAAGCAGTGTTCTGCCCTGGCCAGGATGGTGCTCACGCACCACATGACTTCTGATGCAAAGCAGCAAGGGGCCGGGGAGGGAGCCACAGAAGAGCACAGGCCTGCCGTGCAGCAGCAGACTCTGCCAAGTGAGAGTGATGCACATGGGTCTGATTCTCGTCTTGTGCATCATAAGTTTCCTCTACTCTTTGGTGCAACAGGATGTACGCAGGGAGTAGAGAGAGACCAGTAGTCCTTCTACAAAACAAGCATCAAGGCTGAATATCCCTTCCAATATGCCTTCCTACTGTGCTGCAGGCTTCTATTCGCCCGGCTTACTTGGGCCACAGCAAAGGTCTTCTGTGGCCCGGGACCACTAGGGCATGGCCTTTCCCCTTCGGGTGGAGCAAGAAGGTAAAAATCCACTGCCATCTTATAAACCCACTGCCTCACCCCAGCTCTGCTTCTCCAGCCCCCATTAGTCAGCGTATTGCAAGGGGAGACCAGCGTCAATTTCTCTCTCTCAAGCCCTTGAAGTGGAGAGTAATTAACAGAGTAGAATAACTATCACAGCTTCAATAGTTTTCATTAATCTTTTTCTATTTCCCTTCCTATGCCATATTGTTCAAATCAGTTGATCAGCAATTCTGCAAGAATCCAATCGCAACATTAAGAAATTATACCAATAAGTTGCATGAAGATATTTCGGTGATAGAATCCCAACTCCAATTTGAATATCCATCATGCCCTATTACTGAAATTTCACAAAAATGTTAAAATTCAATGATTAAATACCCTAGGAAGTTGGTTTCTTTAGCTTAGGTTTCAAACATTTTGCTCTTGTAAGTCCAAAGGAATTAAATTCTACTTCCTTATTCTACTTTGATATATAAGGCTTTTTCTGTTTTTAGAGGGTTTGGAATTTCTTAGGGTAAATGTTTGAACTGCTAGGTCTGGTTTGAGAGTCTTATATCAAATTACCCTTTAAGATAGAAAGCATCAGGCTTACATGACTTCACTGATAAGTGGAGCCAACTAAATGAAAAAGAAATGATAGCTATTCTCCACAATATTCTGCAGGAAATAGAAGCAGAAGAGACATATTTTTAACTCACTTTGTGATGTCAGCACTATACTTATGGGCGAACCAGACAGTGAGGTTACAGGAATTGAGTACTATAAACCAGTACTGCTCAGGAACAAGTAGCCCAAATTTCTCAAAAATATTACCAGAAGGAATATTGCAATTCGAATAATACCTACACACTGCAGTTAGGTGGTATTTTTCTCCAGATAAGCAAGACTGACTAAATGCATGTATGTATATGAATTCATGTCAAAAAATGACAAAATCTATCACTTATCTAAAAAGACTTTGTAAACTAGAATAGTGGAGAAATCCCTTAATTTGTTATGACATATCACCAAAGCCTACAGCTGCAAACTGATCACACAGTAGTGAGATGTTAGACACCATTGCACACGTATTCTGGTTAGGAACAAGGCGAGCATATTGTTTCTTAATAGCTTCAATCCTCCAGTCCAATAAAAGAAGAAAAATGGAATAAGAGGTTTACAGCTTTCACAAGTTGGGGAGCACTGAATTTGTTTACAAATGGCCTGACTGCAAAAAATGGACAAAACACATACGTAAACCCAAAGCCTGAAACTACTGTAAGTAGTACTACAGTAAGGTAACGAGATATAAGAATAAGATATAAAAATCAACTTCTTTCTTCTGTACCAAGTGTGTGAACAATTGGAATTTGAATATTAAAAAGGTAACTTCAGTGCTTGCTTTGGCAGCACATATACTAAATCTGGAATGACACAGAGAAGGTTAGCGTGGCCCCTGCGCCAGAATGACGTGCAAATTCGTGAAGAGTTTCACATTGTTTCTACTATATACAAAGTTGTGTTTTTATTAATATTGTTATGTACTGATATATTCAGTTATACTATGTCTGATGATATAGCCAATTCTATTGGAGCTAACAAGAGACAACATAGGAATTATAGTAGAACTCTTCGTACAACAGTCTTACATGTATTTTTCGTTTCATATGTTTATAGGAATATGTTTTGTTTTATCTTGCTTCGTTTTGTTTCTCCCTCTAATATAGAAAGGATAGAAATACATGTTAAGACTCATGCATGTGTAGAATCTATAAACAGTTTATGAGAACTGATCTTATGACACATGATGAAATGAACAGATACTTTGAAGATAAAGAGACACTAAAGTACCCAGTGCTGATCCTGGAGTGTCATAATGTGACACTCAGCAATAGTATTATTCTTTGTTCAGAGTGATATTAGCCTGCTTGGGTCTAGTGAAAGTCAACATAACTGAAGATATGGGTAACTGCATGTATGTTTAAGTGTAGAGGATTGATAACCATGTTTCTAAGATAGTTGAACAGAACTGGTTGCAGTCTCACTGTTTGAATTCCTACTTTATATGCTCCACTTTAGTATCTTGAATAACTATTTGTAAGAGGACAATCTGTAATAATCAACTAGTGATTTCTTATTGTTTATTTTTTATTTGAAAGTATGTATTATTTCTACCCGTTTTCTGTTTTGTTTAGCCTTTCTTTAAATAAAATTTAAAAAAGAAATAACAGCTACTCAGCAAAAAATAAAAATAAAAAATAAAATGTAATTTCAGTGTTGCTGAAACAAACCAAATAATTAATACCAACCAATTTGTTAATAAAATCTAACAAAATATGTATGGGACTTACGTGAAAAATCTAAAATATTAATGAGAGAAATGGAAAAAATATACATAAATGAAAATTACATTTTATGAGTGGTAGTACTGATTATGGTTAGGTCGTTAGATTGTCAGCTTGATACACAGATTCAGTACAACCTGAGTGACAATGTTGTTTATTCTGTAGACTTTGATGACACTTCTGAAGTTTTATTTGAAAAGGCAAAATATTCCCTCAGTCTCTGTTTCCAAGCTCACATCACGTTCTGTGTTCAGATCTCTCCCTTCCTCCCCTTACAGTGGTACTACCAAAGGCCTTCAGGAGCTACTTTGATAATTCAGAATAAGATCCTCATCTCGAGATCCTGAACTCTATGACATCTGCAAAGTGATTTAGCCATGTAAGGCAACATTCACTGGCTTGGACATGCACCTCCAGATGTCTCAGAAAACTGAGGCACAGCCACACAGGACATACAAGGCTTTTTGGAAATCACTCAAAATTAGAAACGACACATTCATTAGGTGAATGTATAAGCAGACAGTTGTATCCTCATGCAATGGAATATTATCTCATTATATAAAAGGAAATAAACTATCAAACCACAAAATGGTATAGATCAATTACAAGATTATGAAGTGAAAGAAACCAACATGAAAAGGTTGTGTTCTAGGATTCCAAATGTATAATATTCTAGAAAAAGCAAAATTGCAGAGATAGTAAAAGATCATTGTGTTGCAGTGGTTTGGAAGGATCCAGTGGCAGCTGTACTGGGGATCTTTCAAGACAATGACACTATTCTATGTGATCTTGCAGTGGTGCAAACTGTCACAGTGCACAATTCTTTGCTCAAAGTTAGAAAAATTCAAACATCAGGATAAATAACAGAGTATTAAATTATACCCCACAGTGGGAAATAAATATTCATAAGCCTATTGTGATACAAATACTTGAATGAATAAACAAATAAATTAAATAATTAATCTGAAACAGACAAATCCCCTTTAAACAATGGTTCCCAATGATTTTACAAAATACTTTGCCTTCAGAGGGGCAAGGCTTAACTCCTCACGCTAGCAGGACATAATGACTTCCTTCCAGAGAATGCAGTTACTTGATCATGAAACTAGCTTGATAGACACAGTCTTAGCCAGGTGACTGAGACCACTGTAAAGAGGGACCCAGCATGTCGATAAAGGGTACAGCTGATCCCATGTGAGAGAACACTATTCTGTGTGTTCTACGGTTTATTCCCAAGGTGCAGATCCTTAAACCACACCAGCTGGGGCTCAGAAGGACAGGAATGGACAAACTCTAGGCGATAGACATTCAGCAAGTACACCTAAACTGCATTCTTCGAAACTGTCAAGGTCTACAGAAACAAGGGAAGCCTAGGAAATCATCACAGCCAAGACGAGAAGACAGGATGACTGAGGTACTGTGAGGTCTAGGATGGAAATCAGAAGACAAAAAAGAGACAAGAGGAAAAGCTAAAGAAACTCTAATCATGATGTATGGTATGCACGTCTTAACCACCCACCTTAATAATCAATACAAGTGAATAAATACTGGTTTACTACTTTTTATGAATATACTAATGTAAGATACAGGTAACATGGAGACTGGATGTGGGGTATACGGGAACTCTACTATCTTGGCAATTTTTCTGTAAAGAAAAAAATCATTTTTAGATTAAAAGTTTAGTGAAAAATATATATTCCATAAAGATACTAGTTTTTATGAAGGACACTTCTCCTATGCAAACCAAACTTAAGATATAATCAAGTTCAATAGGATCAGGCATTCTGCTATGCAAAGCAAAGCATTCTAAACGTCAAAACTGCACATCTGTCTGTGGGCTGAGCCTTTTCTCATTGACTTTGCCACGCAGATCTTACGTGCTGAGTGCTGAGGGGTCCCCAGCAAGGCCTCAGTTGCTACAGTGTGTCAGAGAGGAATATAAGCAACAGACACCTCTGTCATGGAAAGCCAATAAGTTTTTTGAAAGCTGGTTGGTCATGTGTGGCTTTGATCATGTAATGCCCACTCTATGCAGCCATTCTTACCCACACAGATGGCAAATGTATGCCGGACCTTCTGCAAAATTTTCTCTGATTGCAAAGCAGTTGAAAGGAGCAGCCAGTGTTAGTTAGGTAAACCTACCTGTTATGGTTGATACATTGGGTCAGCTTGAGAAGTTTAGAAATTTAACTAAGAGACTCGGTGGGGTGCCAGGATCCTTATTTTGTAAATACCCTCATAGGGCAGAGAGGTGGTGTCAGCTCTGCACCCCTCCTGGAGGTGGGGGTGGTCTGAGTGCAATGTCTCCCCACTCCCCTTTTGTTCTGGCTGCTTTTGCTGCCTGCTGGTTTGAAGTATTACCCTCCTAACGCACCACCCTGCCTTGGAGCCAGCTGATTATGAACTGAAACCTCCACAAACAGTGAGCTAAATAAACCTTTCCTTGCTTCATTTTAGGTGTCAGGTATTTTGTCCTAGCAATGAGTCAGATGTAATCAAGACCCTAACAAGCACTGGAGTGTTATGATTTACAAAGGAAGAATTGTCTGTGCTGAGTCCACCTTCATATGCCTCTGTGTGTACTTCTGTGTGTCACCTGAGAACATCACCAAAAATGAAACTAACAAATGACCTTGTATCCTGCCAGAGTAATAAGAGATAAGTACAGAGTTATGTGTGTGAAGGGGAAATAATGTTAAAGTGTTATGCTTTAAAAATAAAACTCATTTTGAGATACATGAGACAGTGTGGAAAATTTTTATTTAAATCACATTTCTAGTTGCATTCATCAAAATAAGGATAGTAAATATACTTGGATTTACTGCAATGCCACTTCAGCATTTATTTTCCACTTTTCTTATTGCCATGAAAAATGACTTGAGTACATCCTTCTCTACCTGGATGACAATGAAGAAATATAATGTCCTTGTCAACTACTTGTTAGGATGTTCTTATGCCAATTCTGGGTTAAGAAGTATGTAAATTATTTATAGGGATTAATAAAATGGGTAAAAACAGTATAAAAAGTCATTTCTAGCAATGTTAGAATTCTTGGAATAAGTAATTGCATGAAAATAGAGGGTTGAAATATAACTTTAATGATACTGTCAGGGTGTGAAATAACCTTGGAGAGAACCTAAATGTCTCCACTCTCTATAAGTAGATAGTGAAAAAAGCAAATGTGAAAACTATTAAATCATAAGCCTTCTAGTATTTTTAAGTGGTAATGAAACAAGAAAATGAACCTAGCATTAGTTAATTCCAGTGATATATTGGTGGGGCATAAAGGATGGTCTAAACAATATTTTACACGGGTCTTCATAAATGTTTTCTCTGAAAGAATGCTCTTTTGAGATTAGTTTTCCTAAACAGTAAATAACAGTGTCCCAGATACAACTTAGGGTGCATCAAGCTGGTAAATAAATTCTTCATGGGAATACTAAAATTAATCTGTTGATTGGAAGTCACACCAGAAGAAATACACCTCAATAAAGGCAAACAGGTCTATGGACATGGGGTAAGGTAGAAAGCACATCACGAAACTCAGATCTGGCTTTGATTCCACCCCCATCGTGCCACAAACAGATGGGAGGGGAGCCTGGCCCTCTCACCCTACATCGCCCCCTCACAGCATGCCACCCGGGGGCAGCATGATTTATTTTCAGTGCAGTGAATCAGAACATCAGAAATGTCAGAGTCAGTAACCCCAAATAGATCCAGTTAAAGACAATCTTGATGAAGTACTTTGTGAAGCCACCTACAATCTAAAACACATTATGTGTGAATTGCTTGTCTAGGAAATCAATAAAATATCAGATTAAACAACAGCCATTTGTGTAGGAGGGCGGTAGGGAGCAGGGAAGTTATGTTTACCATACATAGATAAATTAGCACACATACAGATTCATACATCTATAATAAAACTTTCAGACGCCAACTACTCTGTTTTGACCATTATCATCTGGTAAATGGTCTATTCGTGGACTATATGGCTAATCTTTCCATTCATTTGTACATCATTTTCTTTCACAAATGTCCACAATTGAAATGTGTTCAAAAGTGAAGCTTAATGTGTTTAGAGATTGTTGGAGTCATGAACCCATATAAATATGATCATGTATTTTTTGTTAATTAAGTCACTCCTCAAACATCTATT